GATGAATATATGAAAACCGACCAATTGCATCCAAGAGGCACACTCGGGATGGAGCGGTACAAAGTGTGAGTGAGACACTTTGACTGGGACGGTCGCCTTCAAGAGAGTATCGAAGGTGAGCAGATGGTGTGGAGGGGGGCCCATAAATAGAAAAAGACCAATCAAAGATTGGTTGGGGACAAACTGCGTACAGCGGAATTTGTAAAATTCCGGTGCCAAATGAAGATGGGCACATACGACAGGATGGACTCAGGGGCCTTCGAAGTTAATAGAATTGAGCCAGACAGTGAGTAGGACGTACCAAACTGACACCATAAGAGGTGGGCTATAGTGACCCGTTAGTACGATCTTGCATGGTGATTTTAATATAGTTGTTCCTTACTAACTTTGTGCCTAAAAGTATCTTGTTTCTCACATTACATGCATGCTTTGTGGGTGATATAGTCAGCTAAGATAACCATGATACAAAATTTATGAAATGATAAACTAAATTTCCATGCTAAAACAATGCTATTGCATGAGAAATATCATTTTGCTTGAATTGATACACCACTGTATGAGCCTGAATTGTTTTGAGTGAATAGATACATGTGGCTTAACTTATGGGGCTTACTCAGTCTCACATCAGAATTAAATTGTTTATTACTATAACAAAGTATGAATCATTGTGTTGTTTTTTTATATTTGTGATAGGCATATATTTATTGTATATTGTGTTTATTAAAGACGGGAATAATGAGAGATTTCATGGAAACCATTGTTTCATAAACTTTCAGAAGAGGTACATGAAAAAAAATTCACTGTTTTACAATGTAGCTACATGCATAGTAAAATTTTATTTCTTCACTCTTTCATAAGTCTTTAACTAATTCCTTTGTCTTTCCCCTTAGGCAATTAATAGCAAAAGCCCTAATGGAGATTAAAGACAATCAAAACTTCCCTTATAATTTAAAGGCATGTGACTTATGTGAAATACCCAATATAAAAGGTCTGATGACAATTCATGATTTTGAGCATTTCCTTTATAAGCAATCAAAGAGAATAGAGCCTGGCAATGGCACTCCACACAAGAAACCTGTAAGTTTTTCTAATTTGTAAGCACTATCATTAAATTTTCATATGCATATACAGCCAAGATCTATGACAAGATTTTTATATTGCAA